ACCAAAAATATAACCTGGGTTGCACTTTTTATTTATAGAGATGGTTTTTCTAATCTGGCTACGTAAAATTATCAAAATATTTTAATAAAATTATCTTTTATATTTATTTATTAGTAATATTTTGATAATATTAGTGCTCAACCTTTTTTTTGTGTGTTATTTATATATTTAAATTTATTACTTTACTATGCAATGAGTAGAAAGACTTCAATATCAAAGATATATCATCATTTAATTATTTAAATTATAGAATTATATATACATTTTAGATTTTGATTGAACAATGAGAGATAACCATTTTTCATTTTTTATTTTACTCTATCCACATGATATACGATTTGAATTCAAAATTTTTTATTTTTAATGAAAGAAAATAACCAGTAAATTAATTAAATCGTTGGTTAAAATTTAATATATTAAATTACATAATATTTTTTTTAGTATTTTATTTTCGGATTTGAACATTTTTTTAGTACATTTAATTCGCCATTTCGGATTTTATTTTAACCTGGTCCTACAATAAAGTCATAATATCCATATGTTCACACGAAGTTATCATTATACCATGCACAATAGAATTATAACATGAATTGCATGAATTTCGAAAAGCAAAGCTCTGCAGTTTCAAAAGCCAAAATCACTGTACTAAAAGCTACAGTATAATAGTCAAGATAATATTTTTGATTTTTAAATTAATTTTTTTACTTACCAGCAATATTTGAAAATCAAACACTTTCGGTATTTATTTTTTTATTTATAAATTTTGAATTTAAAAGTTTATTTATAAAAAAAATTAAATTCCTTCCATTTTAATCAATAAATCACTGTAAGTTTCTAATTAGTTTGTAAGCACTAAATTAACTTTATCAGCACTGCACCATGTAGCAATCTTAGTGGAAGTTCCAATCTCTACAAAGCCTCACCTAATCTTTCTGCTAATCACACCAGGGATCAACACTCCCCATTTCTCCCAATTACCCAATTTCCAAAAAAAAAAAAAAAAAAAAAAAAAAAACTTCTCTCTACATAATAACCCTACAAGTACAAGGGCATGTTCTAGTTCAGCCATCCTTTTTCCATAGCCAGAAACCTCGGGTTGGTCTCAAAATTTGCTTCAGCAATGCCATTTTGGGGACATTCCAATGCTCCACATGCCTGGAAGAGTTTTTTTAGATAAAAGCTGAATCAACTGAACTAGAAAGACAATGAGTAAAAAGCTAACAGGAGTGCCTCTCCCACAAAACATGTTACCTGCAGACTTTACCAGATTGTGCATCAAAATAATACTCAGTGTATCCAGTAGCTGCAACACACCACAAAATGATTGCATTAGGTAGGAATGTCCTTCATTCGTGTCCATGTAATGCTTTTTCAGATTCCAAAGAACTTTCCCCCCAAAACTTGCAAGGATAATCAAAAGGAAATGAAAAAAAAAGAAAAGGGATAGTGGTTCTGTTTATTTAATTACATTCCCATGTTGGCAAAACACCAAACAACTCCAAACTAAATTCCATATTTGCATTATGTCTGTCTTTGATGTATTTGATAGAAGAAGCATAAAAACATACCAGAAAGAATGGGCCTCCATGGGAATGACATTATGCAACTAAAACGCCAATGTCCCACTCCCTTATCCTGCATACAGATATTGGTTCAGACTTCAGAAGGGAAAAAATTGGAATTGCCAAGTTATATTGAAGATGGCAGCAAAAAATTGATACATGGATCAGGAAATCTTGGATTGAATTTAGTGAACATAAACATACCTCAAAGTCCTCCCACTTCGTTAGTTTCATATTTGATTTATCAATAAGAGATCCAAAATTTGTGCAATTCCTTTTGAAACGTCGAAGGCCTTTGAAGGAACCTGCTGGATCCGCAAATTCGCAATTTTCTTCATAAGCATCAAGGGTAAGTTGCCCTGATCATAACAAGGATGGAGAGGAGACCCTACTTCATTAGCTTATGAAGCCGAATTGCAAAGAAAATTGACGAATTAGAAACTTGATTCAATTGGGTTTTTTCAAGTACCAGTGACGAAATATGATCTATCGAAGTCTTGTTTGATGGTTTCAACAACAGCTACGCGATTCACAGCACCCGATCCATCAGTGGCGAGGTTGAGATAGTTATCGGGAGCTTCAACCGGAGACGGTGGACGGAGAAAGGAAGCGGCGATTCCTAAAAGCTCGGAGCCGTACCAAGCTATCTTGAGGAGAGCATTCTCTGGTGCAGATTCTTGTTTGGTAGGGGAGTTGCTAGTGGAGTTCTCTCCGCTGCATTTGATTCTGTATAGCCGGCAGCCGGAAATTGGGGTCAAAGTGCTGCAACGGTGGCGAGCGTTGCCATGGAGAGCTACGGAAGAAGTAGGGATGGCGGCAGCCATCTTTTATTCGGAAAGAGGAGATGCAGTAGAATAACAGAGTCTTCTTCCGCCGTCAGTTCTAAATATCTAAGAATTCACTTAATGCTCGCCACAGAAAATTTCCTTGGCAAGACTTGAATGTCCTCAACAGAATTCTCGCACCAACGAC